TTTACAAAATTATTCTGGCAACCACAGCTGCCAAAATTATTTTGTAAAAACTACAGATTTTTTTTTTTTACAGTGTATAGTGGTTTTATTTGTAGTAAAACCATGGTTAATTTCCGTAAGGGTAATGCTTTAACATGGTAAATAATGCTAAAATACGCAATTATATTAATAATATTATTATCTATCTATCTATCTATCTATTTATTTATTTATTTTTGTCGTGTTGTATTGTGTGGTAATGTTGCACAGTACAAAGGCTACTAGCCGAAACGTTGATTAAAAAATAGCCAATGCTTAAGTGAGCGTGCAGTTGCTCATTTTCAATGTTGCACAGTACACCTTGTGCACTGGCTTATCGTGTAATTTTTCTAATGGCCAAATTCCTGTTTCTTGTTATCATATATGTTTCCAGTGCCTGGCTTTCATTTGCCCCGCAACAATGAAACGTGTCATGTATTGGGATCCATTCCTCTGGTAAATTACTTGTTACCTGCTGGCATTTATTTATGTGGCTGTGAATTATAAAGCTTTGTTATTGCTCTGCCTTGGGTGAATTGTTTATGACACCAGTAATCGGAGTAATTGTTATTGTTGAAATGACCTGTCAGCTGGCCCTTGCAGCAGAGCTTGTCCTACTGACAGATAGTGACAGCAGAGAGGACTCCTGGAGCCGCACCTCTGATGAGTTCTCCGCTGATAATAAGGAGCGCTGGGCCCCTGATAATTCGCCTGTCAATGCTGCCTGCACATCCCAGATCCTCAGCCAAATTGTTGTCATTCATTTTGACAAAGACAGCAAAGAGAGAGAGAGGTACAGAGAGATTACCAAAAGAAATGAATTTGTTCACACTTCCCCCATCTCTGTGAGGCTGCTCTCCGACCTGACTCGTAAATTGCACTTGTCTCGAGCTTAACGTCTGCTTCACCTGCGAATGCTTTTGGAGCATATCTGAGCATTCGCGAAGCCTTGTCAGGCTGATTTAAAATCTCTGTCGGCGCAAACTTTCAAAAATATTGGCCGCCGTGGCAGAAATAACAGCAGGCCAAGTGGTTTTACCACAGTTCAGGCGGCAGAATTTGACCAGAGTCAGATTTCCTTTCTATCCAGAAGCTCTTACTCTAGACATATGGCATTAGCAGGTCAGCCTGACTGTGCTGGCGGGCAGATCGACCTCAGAGAGGCTGAAAATCATAATCAATGTCATCGCAGTCCGAGTGGTGGTTACGGGAGACATATCAGTCTGCGTCATATCGGCCTTTCTCTGTGTTAAAACAAATCTGGAGTGTTTATGTGTTAAACTCAGTTTTCCGTTCAGTTTAAGGAGCATGTCACCGAGCTTAAGTGGGAACTGATAGTTTGACGTAACATGTCTGCGTCTTGCATTTCTGTTTTTCTTGCAGCCAAAGCTCACACTCATCAATAGTGGATCAAATCACAAGCCGTGTGATCCATCACGTTTAATTAGGCCTCTGAGTTCCCAGTAATGCTCTTTACTGCTTCCTGAACCTATGCAAATAAAGGAAATGCTATTTATTTAATCATTTTATGTTGTGTCACTTCATTTGCTTTGAGTTTCTAAGATACCCTAGAACCTTGCTTTTTTTTTTTTTTTTGAACAATTGCTCTTAAAAGTCACCTAATCCCATTTTTAACAATATGGTTCACCTCAAAGAAAGGAATATTCCACAAAATCTGAAATGGAAGATTGTGATTAATATGATTCACAGCATGGCTGTGTGGAATTAGTTCTGCAGAGATGAAATGATGATATGACATGAATAAGGCTCAAATGGCAGGTGATGACAGAGGCTTGATTTCATTTATTTGGGAATTCTAGACAGAGTGATGTCGGTGCATGAAATAGCTTTCTTATCCCATTTTTATTTTTATGATTATTGAACTAAGATTTTCTTGAACTGAGAATGCCATTACAACACTCCCATACTCAAAATAACCATAAACACGGCACAGATTGCAACATTTTTCATTGCGGATCAACAGTCCCTTCCTACTAATATGCTTTTTTTAAGCTTTAATTTTTCATTCAAATTATACCATTAGCAATCTATTCATTTATCAAGGATGCAAGAATGAGGTTTTAAACAATGCCATTAATTATCGTTTCCAGATGCAGCACACACAGCAAAGTTGATTATGGTGATTTGAATATAACACAAGCCCACACAGATGGGGAGACTTTAGGAAAGAGAAGCCTATTTGAATAGGTTCGCAGACATTAATGGCAATAATGATTTATCCGTCCGGTCTGGCTTTTAATGATATTGTTATTCCACAGAGTTATGATGCACATATCCTCGTGAGTCCAAAACAGCAAATAAACTCTCCCATATTATATATCTATAGTCTGCGTAATGATTTGTAAAATGATCATAGTGTTTACACTATGTATATATATATATATATATATATATAGAAATTCATGATAGTATTCATATTCTTTAATTTAGTGAGGTACTAATGTCTTCAATTTCAAGCAAAAAAAAAAAAAAAGATACAGCTATTCATAAAATTGTTATTTATCATTTGGGTATAAAATTACTGAATGATCATTTTACATAAAGTCCATTCAGTGTGTTTATTCGCTTTTTTATTAATCCATATAAGAAGTATTCCTTTATTGTGAGAATCTGAGACACATGTTGACTGCGGTTGTCCATGTCCACATCTGTTTTTTATTAATAACACTATTTTTACAGAGAAGCCTCTTCAAGAGAAAAGGCCGAGCTGCGTAGGTGAGATTCATCGTCTGAGGAGGCGTGGGGTCTCCACAGGGTCAGACACACCATGACACCTCCATCCCATCACACACACAGGCACATTACCTCCCTCTACTGCTGTACTGTCCCAGCAATACGCTATTGCAATTGTGAGAAATTAACACTGGTATGCTTTAATGCAGTGTTTATTCTTCTAATCCATCTCCACTGACTTTTTCTGTGGGAAGAACAGAGGCTGGTTAACCTCTGAGTTCGCTGATCGCTGGTTAATCAGTGTGATATGGAAGTGAAGGTTGTTTTGATGAGAGTTGGCCAGATGCTGTCAATGAGTTTTGCTTAGGGCAATATTTGGGTTATGATTTGGTGAGATTACTTAAATGGCCACCGCCACGGTACACCTAAAGCAAAAATGCAGTGTTCACGCTGCAAAAATTGTAACCTGTGATAAATAAATATATACATTGCTTTTTTTTTCTCTCTTCTGCTCATCAAAGCTGCATTTATTTGATCCAAAATACTGGGGAAAAACTGTAACATTGTGAAATAGTATTACAATTAAAAATAATAGTTTTCTATTTTAATATACTTTAAAATATATATGTTTCCTTGATTAATAAAAACTTAAAAGGAACAGCATGTATTCAAAATGTAAATATTTTCTAACTATATAAGCATTTACTATCACTGCTTATCACTTTAACACATCCTTGCTGAATAAAAGTTTTAATTTCTTTAAAAAAAAAAAAGAAAGAATAAAAAAGAAAAGAACAGAAATACTCACCCCACATTTTTGAATGGTAGTGTATTTTAAAGTATATTAAAATAGAAAACCACTATTTTTAATTGCAATAATATTTCACAAGTTTTTTTCTTCTTCTGTATTTTGATCAAATAAATGCAGTCTTGATGAGTGTAAGAAACTTCTTTAAAAAAAACATCAACAATCTTACTGATCCCAAACTTTATATTTCTACCTAATTAAACCCATATAAAGTAGTTTTGGAAGTAAATGAATGTATTTGGGTTGATTCTGTGATATTAGATAATAGTTTTGACTTGAATATATCTAGTTCATTTAGATTTTACCATCAGTGCAGATCAAAATGGTGCATTAATACGATTTGAAACTTCGAAGGTTCGCGTCAGACAAAATGTGTCAGAATAAGATTTGATTGTCAGTAAATAATAAGCTAAATTGTGTCTGTTGACAAAGAAATAACATAAGACGGGTTTGGAAATGGCATGAGGGTGAGTAAATGGTGACATTTTCATTTTTGGGTGAACTATTCTTTTAACCACCGTCATTAGTTTGATGTTGAGAGGTAGAATGAGGGCGAGGAAGACTGCTGGCATGCATTGTGTGGGAGCAGGTGCCAGAAGAGAGGCTAATAAACACCAGCTACAAGCTGGATACTCACTCCAAATAATGTCTTTTGGCCATGGCTGGGCTATTGATGTAACAATCCTGTGTTTCAGTAATGACGCCCATGTTGGGCATCAGTTACGGATCTCTCTGCTGTTGGCATCATCTTTCAGTCGTTCTGCGTCGATCTCACTTTGTTGTCGTTTTGGCTCTTGCCATTTCTTCCTCGTTCTCACCTTGCCGTCTTTCTCTCTTTCTTCTCTCTCGCCGTCTCGCGTCTTCGCTCTGGATGCGATGCAGGCCAATTGGGACTTAATCAGAACCAGATGGACACGGTGTCGAAATTGTCCAAAAGGGTCTGAGAATGTGGGGAGCTGTCAGGCCTGTGGAGAGAGTGGAATTCTTCAGTAATAAAACGTGGATTTATCACCTCTCTACCATAGTCATAGCCCTTTCTGTTAAAAGCCGATAGAGAGAGAGGGAGGCCACTGTCCATTATTCTCACAAAACTCCGGTGCGGCTCCTCAGCAAGGCCCAAACTAGCAGCCTTCAGAAAAGGCGCATTAACCGAGAGCATTCGCGTCCCCTACTGAGTCAAATGAACCTGCTAAAATAGCCGCTTTTCACAATAAGCTGTGTAATTGAAACCAGAATGTGGAGGATTTGATAAATTGCTTGACCCTGTAGGAATGTTAGAGCCGTAAATTTTTAGTGCATTTTGGCTATGTGTTTGGGTAAATGCATGTCTGTTCATGTGTCTTTCGGCGTGTGAGTGCGTCTGTGTTTTTATTATTTTTAATAATAATGGCTTTTCACTGTCGTTTTAGTGAGGGCAAGCACACACACACACACACACACCGAAACCATTGTGGGCCTTAATGCACCTTTCCATTCTAAGATCAAATCAAATGGTCCATAAATCTTCAGAACTCTATGGAGTTCCTTCACGTACTTGCTGGTTTACATTAAAGATCGAAAAATCCTTGGAAGGCAAACTGCATCCAATGCATTTTGCTACATCAAAAGATTTAGGGGCATATTCATGCAAAATGAAAATTGCATTGTTCATATTAAAGGTATGAGATATATAAGTAAAATAAATAAAATTTTCTATATCATAAAAACAATCATTAGGAATTTTAGGAATTCTAAGTGACAAAATAAAATGCTGAGGTAAAACAAAATTAGCTTTATATTTACATTTGTGAACAAAAGGTTAGAAGGTAAATTAAGTAAAATAAAAATTAATTAATTATTTTTTTTTAAACAGATATATGCATGACCTATATACAATATATATATATATATATAATTTTAAAAAATGATAAATTAATTCTTATTTTTCTTAATTTACCTTTATACTATATATAGGTCACGCTTCCTCAATGCCGACCAATCCCGTTCGGGCACTGTGAGGTCAGCTCAGTGTAAACACAGCACACGGCACGATTTATGGCATTTGCTGCGGCTACAACCAGAGGTCTGTATATTTTCACATCATAATTGCTTTTTGCAGCTTTTCAATCACCGAGAGCTCTTTTTGTTTTGTCTCTCACCCTATTCTAAGGACTGAACCATACACAATGGCCCAGGGGTATTTTCACCTCATTCTTAATTCTTAATGTCACCTCACGTCTTAATTTATGCCGTGTCTTTCTTTTTTTCTGAGTCAAGTGAATTGTGCAGCCCTGTTAAAAGGAGCATATCACACGTGAGAAATCGTACCGCGGGGTTTCTCACTTGTTGACAGTAGTTACCTGCGCCCTGGCAGACCCTTGGCCCTAGGATAAAATGGCTTCTATCATGGGCCAGACACATAAATATTTCCCTTTCTATTTTCCAAAATAGCTTTTAATTTAACAAGTTTTCTAGCAGACCCCCCCTACTCCCCTTGGCCTGGGCCTCTCCTTCTGAGGGAGTCTGGGATTAGGGGACGGGCAACTCCCTCTGTCCACACTAGTGTGCTCTGGCCCGCTGACCTCTCCCTTGGGGTTCCGAAAGTCCAAAAAACCTCTCAATCACTGAAGTTCCTGCACGATGGGGATTCCATGTGTAGAGAGCACTTTAGCAACAGAAGAAATAAGATGTCTCTTGATTTTAACCTTGGTTAGCCTTACGTTTATAAAATAGCTCCCTGGTTATGGATTTATTACTGGGGCACAAAATTTTGAATGAAGGGTGGTGGGGGATTTGCATTTTTGTGTGTGTGTGGAGAAAGAGGACCTGTCTCCTCTAGGGACAAATTGATGTCAAGTTGTTCTCTCTGTCAGGATTAAGTGTCTGTTTGCTTTTTGCTCACGTGCAGTTCAATGACAAAAAAAAAAAAGGTCTTTTGAGTAAAAGCATCTCAACGTCATTGCTGTTTTATAAAAAGGATGGAAACAACTACTTCCCCCAATAATGAACATAATGAAAGCCTGTCATCATGTACTCATCCTCTCAGTGTTCCAGTCCTGTTTCTTTCCCTGTTTCTTCCTGGGGACACAAAAGGAGAAACTTTGAAGAGTTGTATTGTCACTCTTTTCCATGAATGGTCAAAGGATGCAAAAGCACAGTGAAAAGTATTATAAAACAGTCAGGATGATTTATGCACGGTAAGTCTTCTTGAGCCATGCAAAAGGTTTATATGAATTAAATGAACTGTAATAAATGTAATAATTTGTGACGTCTATTAATGAATCGTTCTCTTGAGTCAGATCGATTCAATATACTGTTTGATCCAGGTTACAAAACCAGTCTGAATGATTTGTTCATGAGCCAGTTTGAGTTGGTTCTCACAGTCACAGTAGCGAACAGTTCATTTGGGTGGAAGACTTTTAGGGAATGATTACTTAAAATTTAGTCTGTTCCTCCGCAAAGCTATCAGATGACTTCAGGAGACTTATACAATATATATATATAGAATATACTAACAATATGGACCATGTTCAGTGCACAGTTGTGAGTATTTGCTTGTTAGTTTGTTTCATCGTGAACCCAATTTGGTGAACCTAATCAAAAATAAGACTCTTGGCATAAGTGAGGAACAGATAGATGCATTCATGAGAACATAAACACCTGCAACCTGTATAAGATAAGAATCTACATCATGAGTGGGAAAATGAAGAATAAACAATAGAGGTTTTCTTCACAGAAAACAAACACCCTCTCACACACACACACACACATCCCCAGTGTGCTTGTTTTCCAGCTCCTGAAATTCAGCATGCCATAAATCTACCCCTCTGAATACGCCTGGCATGTTTTAAGGTTGCTGTGTCCATAATACCATAGAACATAAGCACACTGCAGTTGATTGGTAGACATAAACATTGACTGTGGCCCGGACACAGTTTAGCACCCTGCTACAATTCATCGGTAAACTGAACTGCTGCTGTAAGTGAAAAATCAAGGTCTGTTATCCCAAGAGTGGAGATGGACTACATCATCACAACAAGAGAAGGGGTGAGAGACAGCAAGGGAGACATTTCAATTCAAATTTTTATATTATAATGTTCTTTTCTACATGTTTTTGCCTAAGGTTACAATGCATCCGTCTAGTTACATTTCTTAAAATGTTTCTGAAAAAAGGCTTCTAAGCCTGTATTTTCCATAATGTGGATCGTGCAATGGAAAAGAAAACCTACACCACAAAGACTACGAGCACTGGCATGAAATGCTCATGATATAATAATGTGGTACACTGTAAAAAATTACCATGAATTTAATGGTAAAAGACTGTAAAAATGCTACAGTAAAAACCTGTTAAATGGTTAACGGTAAATTCCCCTACTATATACGGTGAAAAACTGTATTGGACATTACATGTTTTGGAGATTAATCCGGTTTTTTACCGTACATTTTACGGAATTATTTTTACAGTGTACACTTAAACTGTACAAATATTGGTGTCCTTTTCATGTATAGGAAATTAGCACAACTCACAGGTGAAACTGATGAAGACGAATGATAACACAGTCAGGGAAGAGAAAGCAATTTTTAATGCAACGTCAGAGCACCACATAAATCTCGAACAAAGATGAAAACAAAATAAAACATGACTCAGGCTGATGGATGTTGTTTTTAATGTAAAATCCAGGCAAAAACACCTGGCAGCATTAGACCGGTTTGCCTGTCCTTCTAACCCTTAAGCCAACACCCTTCACTTCAAATAATGCTTTTATCCCGCATCTGCGGAGGTGCAACTCAGGTTACTCATTTAAAGTGCTTATTATTTATCTTCGTGTTGTGTTTTACCCATTGACATCCCATTTAGTGTCGCTGACCCTGCTTATACAAACTCGAATAAATTAAAAAATGTTATAGCGTGTAACACTAACATTCTTAGTTGGATCTCAGGCTAATCCATCACAAAGCCTAACAATAGCCTGCCTCGACTGTGGCACGGCGCACTAAAAGCTTTTATGCTAAATGTGTAGCCTTGTCCAAAGTAAAGTGCGAGGTGTGAGGGCAAAGGGTCCCTTATCAGATGGATTTGTTTCCTTTACATCTAAGTGGAGAGAGATTTATCTTGGACATAAACAGGCTCGGACTGCAGGAACGGAGGTGGCACATCTTCGAATCAGTGCAAATATTTGGGCGTTCTGTTTCTAGCTCTCTCACACATCAGTGAATTTGTCTCTTACTCACACTTCAGCTAATCCTTCATTGGGCTTTCAACATATTGCGACAGGTAGACGTTAAATTACTGTGGAATGGGAAATAATACTAGGACGGAGAATTACAGGGTGTTTATTATTTTAAAATTGCATAAATACAGTAATATATCATATACTATAATATATAAATATATAATATAATATATAAAATGCATATATATATATATATTTATTTTTTTGGGGGGAAATCAATCACTATCAAAATGTTAAATGAATGAATTCATTAATTTTAGAAATATGTACCCTAAAGAGCCATTTTAATTATTTTTCTGCCCAAAAATGGGCAAAAAATACAACACCACAGGAGCAGAACAACAATATATAGCAGCCATGTCATCCATTTTTCATGTTCTCCTCTGTTTTTCAGTTTAAAGGGCTAATGTCTAATGTTTAGTTTAGGGTAAGTAGCCGATGGGCTTCCCGCTGTTACCTGAAAACCTCCACAGCAGAGTGAGTACATTCGTTCTAACTGAATCTCTTGAGGCAGTCAGCCAGTCTGATAGACTACATTGCTCTTTATAAACTGTCTATGGACCATAAACTACACAGCAGAAAGCGTTGCTTTGGGTTATGCAAGTTCAGGATTTAGACCTCTGGAAGCTTCTCTTACTGTAACCAGGTCACTTTCTTCACATAAAAGACATACAAGCAGGTTATTTCAAGAGTTCCAAAGAATGTTCTTATTACTCTCTTACTCCAGAATATTCTTATTCATTTTTTCCCCAGCTGTTCCCAGTTGTGTGTGATGATGCCAGTATTTTGGCATCATGACACCATGGCAGCTAAGTTAGTAATCCAGCCAAGTGCCCATCCCTGTGTTGCCTGAATGGGTGCGCCTTAAAATGCTTGTGTAAAATAAACAGTCCTACTGGTATAAACTTGTGGCCTGTCACATGGTCTAACGCCAGATTCACAGTCAGACAAAATATACGTCCTGTACCCATAAGCTTACACTGAGAGACAACTGAAAAGAAAACAAAACAGATGAATAAATGGATAAATATAAAGATTTTCAAATGAACCAGCCAGCAGGATAATCTATTCTGATGCCTCTGCAATGACAGAATATGTATATAATAAATGAGCACTGTCAATCATGCTAAAAAAAAAGGTCTGCTATAAAGATAATAACAACTTGAAAAGGTTATAATGAGATTGTACAGTCTTTGTTGCATGTCAATGATTTGAAGCTGCACAAAGAAATATAAACGTTCGTGTTTATGATTGTTTTATACGAGTCTGGTGTTGAAATTTGTCTATTTCACCCTTGAGGAATTTGCATTCTCTCTAAATAATAGTTTCCCCGCGCTTGCACGGTGTTTACAAGTGATAAAGTGTGAAAATGGCTCCCGTTGATTAAAACTAAAGAAAAAAACAGCTGCATACCGAAACTTATAATTAGATTTACTTAATGAACATTGCGAAAACATTTATGATACCATCCTGTGGATTTGCCCGTGCATCCTCACTGCAACAATAACAGAGTATCTGTGTCTGATCCACGCACTACGACTTCAGGGAGGGAAAGTGAAAATACGCAACTCCGAAAAACTGACAAGGTGAGAGAGCTTCTTGCTGACATTTTTAACCCGCCACGGATGTGTGGCTGATAATTATGCGCGCTGTAAGGAACAGATACACTCTGGGTGTTACTTTGAAATCGCTACCGGATTTAATTCATCATTAGGACATGGTTGTCTTAAAACGGAGCTTGATGTGTGAATAAACAACTGTTTCATTTACAGCATTACTAAAGAATCAGCCCAGAGCACAAAGACGCCATTTGCACAGAGGAAAAGCAGAACAATGCGTCAAGACAAACTAAACGCCATGTATGTAATTTATATATATATAGCAGGGGTGGCGAACTCCGGTCCTGGAGAGCCGCAGCCCTGCAGAGTACACCTCCAACCCTAATTAAAACCTACCTGCCTGTAGCTTCCTAGTAACCGTTCAGACCTTGATTAGCTTGTTCAGGTGTGTTTGATTAGGGTTGAAGCAAAACTCTGCAGGGCTGCGGCTCTCCAGGACTGACGTTCGCCACCCCTGATATATAGTATGCAGTACAAAAACGTGTGTCTATTTGTATACTATCCATACTAAGAAGTATGCGATCTAAAAGTATATGTATTTCAAATACTAGTACAGTGAAAATAGTGTATCATAGGTGTCTAGATTGTATATATCAGTATGTATATTCAATTTTTGAAGTATGCATTTCTGAAAGCTTTCTCAGATTCATTTTGTCCACAAGTATGCAAAATGGGGTGCAGCCAATGTATTTTGGGTGTCCACGCCACCCCTGATATATAGGCTATACACATACTTTTTTTGTTAATTATAAAAACTTTTTGTTGTCATGTGACAAGAAAAAAAAAAAACAGGAATTGAATAAAACGTTAATAAAAAACGTCCAGGTCAACTGGACTAATCACAAGTAAACCATTAACGATCATTATACTGTATGTGTTTTTTACCTTAAAAAAAAATATTAGAAAACTTTGTAGTAATAATGGATGTATAGACCCACGTTTATTAAAGGTACAAGATTAGTTTAGTACTTTTTATTATTATGGTAACACCACTTTTTTATTATTATTATTATTTTTTATTTTTTTACATAGTATATGCTAAATAGTACACATTTATTTTAAAAGATGCATGAAACCAACGAAAATAGAATACAGATTCTATAGGCTTGACACACTTTATTATTATTATTATCTCATACATCCTTATTTTTCATTCACCTACATACTTATTGTTAGAATTATTTTCCAACTCTCCCCATTTTGGTAAACATTTTAACAACTTCAGATTCATGAACATTCCCAAATCTAAATCTAACCATGATCTATTTATGCACATTGCCTGATAATCACAGCTTAATTCTGTTTTGTGTTTAATTGATGAAAGTTATTATTATTAATGAAACGGTTGCACATTATCATTATTTTCACACATTTTGATAATTAAATCCGCCGATATTTTAATACACTGATTAACTATTTAGTTTTTACCACAATGTAGGGTATTCAAACTGAAAAGAAAGCTATTATATAGGCTACTGTAATTCAGAACTGTAATATTGAATGGTTCATTTTGATGTATCGGGTTTTTTGCCATGCTTGGCTCGTTGTCCATCAGATTCTTGCAGCAAAACTGGCACATCAAAAAGAAACGTTCCCATAGACCGAATTACAGGCTCCGAAAATAAATAAATGAGGAGGCCACTGGCCTCGGGTCAGAGGTTTATCACTCTTCTGCTATGCGAGTGGAATTTGGGACTCTCTGCCTTGTCTCAACTTGCAGCTCACATATTTACCTAAAGCAGTCGTGACCTTTTCACCTTCGGTTCCCAGTCATGTGACACACAGAGATTTTCTACTGTATCAAACGTTTCTCTTTAGACTTAAGCAGTCTTAGAATGGGATTAATAATAAGAATGTTGTTTTCGTTACAAGATTTATGTTTTCTACATGTATTGCTTTGCATAATGCAATTGCATATTAACACTCTTAATTCCCTTTGCATAATTATTTATAATCTTGCCATTGTGATTAATCTCCTCACGAAGGGGTTTCTGCATATTGCGATGAACATTATTATTAATTAAGTGATGTCAGATATATAGGCTATATATATATATCAGGGTGGGTAACAGATATATATATATATATATATATATATTTTTTTTTTTTTTTTTTTTTTTAAATCATTTTTAGTATCACCGTGATTCAGCTAAGCACAAAAGTGCTATTTTAATGTTATCTTATATAGCTGTATATCTAAAAAAATAAGAAAGTAGATTGGAATACATTGATTAAACTAATTGTTAAGAGTTTTTTTTTTTTTTTTTCGTAGGAGCCTGCAAGTTTCTGTTTTAGGCTAGCTGAATAAATAATGCATGCAATAATAGCCTTTAATTATCCTATATGAAATCTGTGTCTATGTTTGTTTAGCCTGTGTACGTTGCTATTTGTAAAATACTGTATTACTTTACTTCCTTGATCGTACAAAAGTTCTCATAACTTGATAGGTTCTTTTAGTTTTGCTCTTTGAATGTGTGTTGCGTTTATCTTTCGCCCCTAACAGCAGATGCATCGTACTTCACTGTCTCACCGGGATCAAAGCGACGAGAGAACATAAGTGGTTATTGTAAGCGAAACATAATACCTCATAACATAAAAGAGAGCGGAGAAATGATGCTGCTGAGTGCGTTTCGGCATTCATCGGGACTGTTGGGCAGGTGGGGGTCGGTGAGCTCTCATTAAAGCCTAACACACAACGGCTATTATTGGATCGGATCTCACCAGGTGAAGATGGGAGCCGAGCTGGCGCACCTTTCACTGACATCCGAGGTTGCTTTACCGGCTCTTGTCCTGCGTAAGCCGCGGCTGTGCTGACCTTGATAGTGATCGAGGGAGAAAGTGAGAGAAAGGTTCAGAGATACTACGCGGTTCTGTTGCACGATGTCCGAACTGTAGCATAGCAGCGGTCCTTCTACTTTACCTATAAATACTTCTGCCATCTAAACAGTCAAATAAGCAGCCTATACCGAATTTTACACGAATTAATAATAATAATAATAGCCTAATATCTGTGTAAATAAACAATAAACACAGAATGTAACATCTCTTACAGTTAGAGACACACACTGTTCCAACATAAGCGTCATTGTATTTGCAGGAACAGACTAACACGCACGTCTTGTGGAATATCTGCAATCATATCTGACGACAACAGCTCTTCTGTGCCATAACAGAGCTAAGAGCTCAAGTTATGCATCAGTAAATAAATATATCGATCGTATATTTTCAGTGCTGTTGCCGCAATTCAAAACACTTAACAAAACATAATGACAGTAGCTTAAAAATTATTGAAAATAAAAAAAAAAGAACATGCATAGCCTATTTAATTTATTTTATGTTTACAAGGCATTTGGTGTTCACTGACTTTTTATTTAAAATTATGAATTGCATTTTATGTTAAAATATTAGTTTATTTATGTACTAATTCAATGCTTTGCTGTCTTTATAGAGATACGATAAGCAATCCTAATTTCTCTTAATGTGTTGCTGCATCAGTGGGAATGCTCGTGTTGTCCGTCCTTCACGGAAATGGGCGCATTTGTTTGATTCGTAGGCTTACCAACCTCCCTCTGAAAGCTGAAACACGATATTATTAGGCCTACTTAATTTGCCTGCTTCGTGTTGGACTCTACTTCTTAAAGCCACCAAGAGCAATTTGTTAAAAACATGTCACTTTGTGTTTTTAAATATATTTTTCGGGTCTGTTCTAGCACAAACAATAAGTAAATATTCTTGCCTTGAGTCCTCATAAACAGTCTATTCCAAACATTGTTACTTAGTTTTATGTTGTGCTGTTATTGCACGCGATATGTCTTTTAATCCACGTAAACATGTTAGAATTTAGTCGAATTATGTGACTTAGCCTAATTGTTCATTATTTTTATGCTGTTTGCTTC